AAAAAATGCTTTAAAAAAGAAAAAAAAAAGTTCAGACGATCAGCTGTGCCGTGCGATTGGAGGAACTTTTTTTTTACTTTTTAAAGCATTTTTTTTACTACTGGTTAGAGCGAACCAGTAGCATTTTCACTACTGGTTCCAGCAAACCGCCCCAAACCAGTAGCTTTTCACCCCTGGATGAAACTGTTCTGTCCCCTCCCACAAGTGGCCTTGCAGAAGCTCAAATAGCCCAGCAGTAACAAATGCAGGCTAGAGAGTTTGAAGCTGACCCTTTAATAAACAGTTCTCTTTCCAAAGTATATTAGTTCAGTAGTTACCAGCAATGTTCCAAAGGTCTTGGCAGACAGCCAGCAGGCTAATGCAGGAATGCAGTCTCTTATCAGAAAACTCCAAACCAAGAGTTGTAAATCCATTACATCCCAAAACGCCAACAAATTGTTCACCACGCCTTTCCGGCCCAGCCATACCCCTTTTATACTTTGTAGGGTGTGGCCCTACGTCTCCTGACCGCATCTCTTGGGACGTGTCAATAGCTGTTCTCTACAATGTCTCCTACGTCTGTCTCTTGCATCCAATAAGGGCTCCCTCTCCTCATTACCGGCCTCTGTTTCCTCCTCAATTTGGCTGGGGTCCAGAGGCACGTCAGCAACTATCAGTTCTTGCTGACTCACCAGTGAAGATGGCCCCTCCGGCACATAGCTCGTGCCAGCTTCCTCCATATCGTCTTCCAACTCAGCATGCGAAGATAAATCAGCCTCCGGGGCCGGAGTCACAACAGAAACCCATGACTGAAACATACTGATAGAAGGATACAAACTGTTCAAAAAAACCCAGACCGCATAAAAGAGGAGGTGGAGTTGCACTGTATGTAAAAGACCACTACAGAAATGCATGAAACCAAAGCCGAAAACCTCCTAGAATGTATATGGGTCAATATAAAAGAAAAAAAGAATGACATTGCCATAGGTGTATACTACAGGCCACCCAGCCAAGCAGAAAAAATAGATGTACTTTTTGCCAACCAACTAACAAATATATGTAGGAAATACACTACAATTGTAATGGGGGAGTTCAATTACCCTGACATCAATTGGAAGGCTAATTCTGCAGAAATTGAATAGGTTCCTGGCCAACCTAGCTTTGTTGTCCAAAAGGAACAGGGACAGCCATACTAGATTTAATTCTTACAAAAAGAAGAGAAGAAGTGATAAGAGAGAGTTTAAACCATAGGAACCTTGGGTGAGAGTGACCATGTCATATTAGAATTCAACATAACACAAACACAAGCAATAGTAAACATAATGATACCAGAGTCCTAGATTTTAAAAGAGCTGATTTTAAAAAACTTAGAGAGAACTTGGGAAAGATTCCTTGCATGAAAATCCTAAAAGGGAAAACAACTGAAGAAGCTTAGGAAACTCTGAAAAATATGATCATAAAAACCCATACCAGCACAATACCACTGAAAAAGAAAAACAAGAAATCCAAGAAGAAACTAGCATGGCTGCACAAAGATCTCTCTGGCAAATTGAAAGACAAAAAGGACAAGTACAAAAAATGGAGAAGAGGATACATAACTAAGGCAGAATATCAGCAGATAGCCAGAATCTGCAAAGATGAAGTCAGGAAAGAAAAGGCTCAGAATAAACAAAGACTTGCAACAAAAGTCAAAGATAATAATTTAATTTAATTTAATTTATTCAATTTATATACCGCCCTTCTCCTAGTGGACTCAGGGCGGTGCACAGCCAAAACTAAAATACATACAATACAAAATTTAAAATTAATTAAAAGAATTATATACTTTGGCCCGAATTAAAACAGTGCGAATTAAAACCCATTAACAAATTAAAACTAAACAATTAATAACCATTAAAAACTAAAAAAGGGGGGCGGGGTTCACGCCAGCCCTGCTTGCTGGAAAAGAAGAGTTTTCAGGGCTCGGCGAAAGACCCGAAGATCCGATATCCTTCTTATCTCCGGGGGCAAATCGTTCCAGAGGGCGGGGGCTGCCACAGAGAAGGCCCTCCCCCTGGGGGTCGCCAGCCGACATTGCCTGGCCGACGGCACCCTGAGGAGTCCCTCTCTGTGGGAGCGTACTGGACGGTGGGAGGCTATCGGCGGCAGAAGGCGGTCCCGCAAGTACCCAGGTCCTATGCCATGGAGCGCTTTAAAGGTGGTAACCAACACCTTGAAGCGCACCCGGAAGACCACTGGAAGCCAATGCAGCTCACGCAGGAGAGGTGTCACATGGGAGCGACCCCTCGCTCCCATAATCCCCCGCGCGGCCGCATTCTGCACCAGTTGGAGCCTCCGGGTACTCCTCAAGGGGAGCCCCATGTTTCTTCCAACATATAAATAACAAGAAAATAATCAAGGAAACAGTTGGTCCACTAAAGAGTGAAGACAGCAAGGAAGTAATAGGCAGCAGAGAGAAAGTACAGCTGCTTAACTCATTCTTTGCATTGGTCTTCACACAAAAAGAAACTATAGTCCAACCTACCAAAAACATAATTGTAAAAGACAGACTAGAAATAAAAGTTAAAATAAGCAAAAAAAAAAAAAATGGTAAGAGAACACCTGTCTGATCTTGATGAATACAAATCACCGGGACCTGATGGATTACATTCCAGAGTTTTAAAGGAGCTGGCAGATATCATCTCAGAACCACTGTACCACATCTTTCAAAAGTCCTGGAGCACCAAGGAACTACCAGAGGACTGGAAAAGAGCTGATGTGGTTCCCATCTTCAAAAAGGGGGGGAGGAACAGACCCAGGAAACTACAGACCAGGGGTGAAATGCTCCCGGTTCAGACCGGTTTGGGCGAGTAGGTAGCGATGGCGGTGGGCAGTTCGGAGAACCAGTAGCAAAAATCCCTGCCCCCGCCCTCCATGCCCAGCTGAGCCGCGCGATCATCAGAGCCTTTTTTTTCTTTTAAATGGCTCTGACGAGCCAAGCTCTGACGATCCCAGCTAAGTTGCCTGCTAATCAGGCAACTCAACTGGGATTGTCAGAGCCTTTTGAAAGCATTTTTTACGTGGTTTTACATGTAAAAAATGATTTTAAAAGTAAAAAAAAAATTGGCCACGCCCACCCAGTCACATTACCCCCCCACCAAGCCACGCCCACAGAACCGGTAGTAACAAATTTTAGATTTCACCCCTGCTACAGACCAATCAGCCTAATATCAATATCTGTGAAGATACTGGAAAAGATAATAAAAAAACAAATCTGCCAACATCTAGAAACGAGTAAAGTACCGTAACAACTAGAAGTCAGCATGGGTTTGTTAAAAACAGATCATGCCAAACCAATCTTATTTCATTGTTCAACATGGTGACTAAATTAATAGAACAACGAAATACTGTGGACATAATGTACTTAGACTTCAGCAAGGCATTCGAGAAAGTAGACCACAACCTACTTGGTAAGCTAGGAAAAAGTGGGATAGATAGCATCACCATCAGATGGATTTGTAACTGGTTGACAAACCATACTTAACGAGTAGTCCTTAATGGTACTATATCTACATGGAGAGAAGTAAGCAGTGGGGTACCGCAAGGTTCCATCTTAGACCCAGTACTCTTCACTATCTTCATAAATGACTTAGATGAGGGAATAGAAGGGGAACTTACCAAATTTGCAGATGATACTAAGCTGGCAGGAATAGCTAACACCCTAGAAGATAGGCTCAAGATCCAGATGGATCTTGACAGACTTGAACACTGGACCCTATCTAACAAAATGAAATTCAATGTAGAGAAAAGTAAAGTCTTACACTTAGGCAAGAAAAACCAAAAGTACACATATAAACTGGATGAAACTAGGTTTAATATTAGTAACTGTGAACGTCTTGAACTTCTTTCAACTGCCATCTGTCAGAAATGGTGTGGGGTCTTCTGCTTGGGCGGGGGATAGGTGGACTAGATGACCTACAAGGTCCCTTCCAACACTGTTTATCTCTTATCTGTTAAATCCCAAGATGGCTGCTCTATTGCACTAGGCTGAACTTAGACTCATTGGCTGAATTCACACTAAAGCTCATGGACTGCCCTTATCTGGACAATATCCTGAATTTGGTTGGTTGCAAACCTTGCAGCAGCATTTATACAACAGCTGAACGTGAATATTTTGAACTTTCATTTGTTTTTATCTTGTTTTAGTAGTTTATTGATTAGTTCACTAACAAAGTTAAGTATTTGTGTAAAGGCAACTTCTCTTTTAAAGAAAGTTTTGTGCCAAGTTTGCTTTCAGACCAGAGTACAATTTGCAAGACTAGTGGTGTGGGAACCCATAAAATCTTTAATCTTAGTTCTAAAAATAGGTTACAGGTATGCACTGGCTTTGTTATTATGAGGGAGAATGGATAAGCATAGTGGGAGGGAACGAGAAATAGAGAGATGAAAATAGTCTCTGGGTACTGGTCCTCTTCCAGTCACTGGAAGTGAACTTTCAGCTACCTCCAAAAATAAAGTTAAAATACAAACTATGCAGAGAAATTAGAAATTCTTATACTTCCTGATGATAATGTAGTAAAGCAGAGGTCGGCAACCTTAAACACTCAAAGAGCGTTTAACAGGAAGCCCCCCTGTTCAATTCTGGAGCCAACCGGAAGTCCCCCACCATAGAGTGTCCTCCTAGGGTGGCATCCTTTTTCCTCGACCTGTCCTAACTGAAAGCCCTATCAATTGTGGAGCTGACCGGAAAACCTGCCCCTTGCCATAGAGTCTCTTCCTGGTCTGCCGTGCTTTTCCTCCCCCATAACCGGAAGCTCCTCTCAAAATTGTGGTGGCGACAGGGAGCTGCAGCAGAGGGATGAAAGAGCCACATGCGGCTCCAGAACCACAGGTTGCTGACCCCTGTAGTAAAGTAAAAGTTTTTTCCTATGAGAAAGAAATCTTTTGAGAAATTGTAAGGTGGGTTTGAGCCCGACATTAAATTTTATGTTTCCTAGGTCTGTTCTTATTTAATGTAATATTAGTTAGTCCACAGCTCTTACCATGATTTTGACAGAGTCCATCAGCAACAAGTTCAGGTTCAGTTTTTGAGCAGATCTTGGCAAACACTGGGAGTTGCTTCTTTTGACCTGATCCTTGACTTTCTGTTATTGTCATAATTGCGGGTGGCCGTGTGATACTGTCTTTGTGGGGCACAGATCCAAAAACATTGTTTTGCAATAGATCCTTGATGAGCTTGGTTTCTTCCGTCACCAATTTACTGTCCAGAGTTTTGGTAGCCTCAACACGTTTGAGTGGGAGCTGAGCCAAGAGCTTGGCAATTTGAGTGTTGGAAGCCATTGTATTGTTTCCACTTTCTGTGCTTTTGTTATTCTTATGGATTAATTTTGCAGGGAGTAAAATGCCTGTGACAGTAGACTTGGTGGACAATTGGACATCACAAATAGACTTCAACTTCACATCTCTTTTATTTCCAGTGAGTGCCCTATAGACATTTTCCATTGTATCCTTCTCATCTGAAGCCTGGTCCCCGTCAGAAAGCATGAGTAGCTGCTTGCTATTTGGGGCCTTAACTGAAGCAACAGGGGGCACTTTCTCATCTTCAGATCTTTGCATTTCTATCTCTGTTGCATTCTCTTGGGTAAGACTCAAATATTCTTGCTCAACCAGCTGAGATATTTCATCTTTGCAAATGTTAGTTTCCAAAGATCTGTGCGAAAGAGAAAGAACACATTTATATAGAATTGATTTATTAAGGGCTTCCTCCTCATCTTTCCACTGTGTGAACTCAGTTGCTAATTCAATTTAAACAATGTAACATACCAATAAATAAATAAATGACATGTTACAAATTAGATAAGGGAATGGCTGTAGCTCAATAGTAGAGTACATGCTTTCCATGCAAAAACTATCAGATCTTAGCCTAGGGAATTTCCAGATGCTGCTGGGGATAGCATCTTCTAAGAAATGAGTGAAGACCATGTTGGGTGGACAAATGCTCAGATTTGGTATAAAACAGCTTCCCACAATTTAAAAAAATAAAGATAAAAACAGAAATGAAACAAAAAACACACTGCCAGAACAACAAAGCAAATCTTTTTGAGAACTGATTTTGCTGAGCAACAGTATTACAGTAGCATTCTGTACAGAAGCCCCAAAACAAAATTGTTGTTTTGACATACAGCTAAAAAGTTAGTATCACCTGTTACTGGATTATTCTTGAAGTCACCCATGAAGGATTTTTTCACACAGCACATTTAAGTTGGTTTCTGAATTAACACATTTTCAGGACTTGCCCAGTCTATTGTGTTGCAAAATAAAACACATTTATGTATTTATCAGATGTCTGAATCACCCACCTCCCTCAGTTCATGCTCAGCTTATCACCGAAAAGCCTGTTAGCCAAGATTGTAAGTAACTCAGTTGAGCACAGTATGTAAGCGATGAGATTTGTAACTGATCTTCTTAAGAGTGTTCTCTTAAAAGAACCCAGTCAAATTGTCAGCTGGCTAAATTAATAAAATCATTCGGTCAGAATGGTAGGAAATGGTATCTGTGTGAGCAATGGAATTACTCTGCATTATCTCTCTCTTTCCTTGCGCTCTGGATCATAAGATCCTGTTATATATTCAATACATTTTCCTCTGAGTAAAATCACCTTTTACTTAAAGTGATTTCATGGACACATCCATATTTTTTTTTCTGAGATCACAAGAAAACCTATTGATTTTCATCTTTCCAAATTCTTTTCTGGAATCCTGGGATTGTTTGTCTTCCATGTTGTCATCTGCATCCCTTGAACATTCTAGAGGTCCCCCATCTAAGGATTTACCAGAATAATCCTCCTTAGCATTCTCCAACAACTGTGGTTGCCTAGGTACTGCCTCCCAGCTGGGCATTTCCCCCTCTTAATTCATGTTTAAAAAATTACAGTTTGATGGAAATCTTGAGAGAGGCTGGGAGCTACTGAAAATTTGCATGGGTAAAAAAAGGCTTCTTGTTGCAAAGATTAAATTTCAGCTGATTAAAAATCGAGTTAAATGATGTGGCCTGGAGACAGGACTAAATGCTTTATTTTGCATACTCATTCTTTGTTTGCTGATAACTTCTGAATGGGTACTTAATGTCTCATACAGAAACAATTGGGAGAATATCCAGGGGTCCAAAAATGAATATGAAGAACTTAAAAGAATTTGCCTAAGGAAGGAATTCCATAACAAAAAAGGAAAGCAGAAGACAAATGGCCTTTCTGAATCCTCTAAAATTATAAATTGAGGATTTCCCCCCCAAAAAATTTACATTGGGTAAGGAGAAATTATCCAATAATTGTCCAAGGAGAGCACCTCCTCAGCAGTGGCAGTAGTACAGTTACTCAAAAAACATTCACTTCCAACTTCAGTCTGCCTCTGAGATTTAATACAAATGTGGGAAGCCAAAGAGGCTGCAGATAACTGGACAAAAAATATTGTTCCATGAAAGATAAGACATTCATAATCCTACTTTGCAGCCAATTAAGTGAGAAGCTTATCAATTTCTCTAAAATGGTCTTTGAAATGAGAAGACTAGTTTCTCTTTCATTAAAATTAAATAAGACTTAGTAAAAAAAGGTGGGGGAGGGGGGCTGAATGTTTCTGTCTACTACTTTGGATATGACCAGAGGAATAAGAGAAATAATTGTTGAAATACATTGAAATACAGTAAATCATGTGGAAAGAAGAGGAATTTCTGTTGAAACATAGTTCCTACTCATCATCACCACCAGTACTTCCACATCATTTGGGGTTTTTTAATCATTCCTTGTATCTGGCTAACATAGATACCGTGTTTTCCCGAAAATAAGACCCTATCTTATATTTTTTTTTAACCCTGAAATAAGCGCTTGGCCTTATTGCCATGCCCTCAAAAGCCCGGCTGGGCTTATTATCAGGGGATGTCTTATTTTGGGGAAAACAGGGTAGAGGGAGAAAAATGGGAGCACCTGGCAATTATTCCAGGGCTGCAGGCTAGACTGGGAAGTTGAAAAACTATCCTGGAAGTAGGCAGTCAACTATTGCTGTTAAGAACATTACCTGGATATGTCCATAAAGCCACCAGGGGTCAAACTCAAGTTCAAGGTGTCTTTACTGTATCTTAACTTCTAAATTACTCGAAACAATTCAAGCATTCTTTGTAGTCATCAAAAATCAGAGTCCATCCCAGTGGTGAAATCCAATTTTTTTTACTACCAGTTCTATGAACGTGGCTTGGTGGGCGTGATGTGGCTTGGTGGGCGTGGCTTGGTGGCATGACAGGGAAAGGATACTGTAAAATCTCCATTCCCACCCCACTCCAGGGGAAGGATATCGCAAAATCCCCATTCCCTCCCCACTCTGGGGCCAGTTCTCCAAACTACTCAAAATTTCTGCTACTGGTTCTCCAGAACCTGTCAGAACCTGCTGGATTTCACCCCTGGACCATCCCCACTAGACTTTTCACCTAAACTTTATGAAATTAAAGGATAAACAGCCATAATTTATTTTCATTTGCTACACTGATTGCTAACTCTAGAGTTGAAATAATACCTTCTGGACAAATTTTCTGCTGGAATTAAGTGGTGAAGGATTTTCATTTTTAAAAAAAATTCATTTCCTTGAATTTACTTTACTGTAAATTCCAATGATTACTTGGGCATATATCAAACACAGGCAGTACAGTTCAGATTACATCCAGAAAGTGGAGACTGAAGCCCAACTGAGCCCAACACAACAGAAAAGAGCTAACCAAGTGCTCATGGTCAGTAATTAATCTTTTAGTTGTAAGCATTTTGAGAAACCTGGAAGTCTTAGTAAGGATTTATAGAATGCTACCATCTGGCAACACAAATAAGTATTTGCCCCAAAATGCCAATCCAGCTTGATCACACGCTGTCAATTGCCATTACCCAGCAGAATTTTTGTTAAAATTTTACTTATTTTATGATAAGCTCTGAAGACAGAACAGCTGGCATTATAGCACCCATTGCATAAGTACTTATCTATATATATAAATATCATGCCAGATTTCTTAGTAAACTGCATATTACTTCATTATCTCTAATTATGGCACCACTATGTCATTAAAGCAGCCTTTATTAGTTTGTAAATTGAACAGATTTTCTGTTCATTTTCATTCAAATAACTCCACAAATTGAGACAAGCAAATTGTTCTGTTATTCTTCCATATCTTACAAAGTGTACACATTGGAATACATGCCTGATCATCAAAAGAAAAAAAGAGTTCTGCTTCATCCCTAAATTACCACAGTTGCTCTTAACTAACCCAGACACTTCTTTTATCTCTAGATCTGAGGACTATGACCAGATGAATTGCTGACATGGTGCTTAACTTCAGATGCCTAGGTTGCCTATTCTCCTAACTTTTGTAGAGAGGCCTAGAAAGAAATCATGTATAGATGCCAAACTTTTATCTCTAAGCCTCTCATACAAGGACCCAAAGTTCATTTTGTCTTGATTATTATATGTTAACCTAAGTAGCCTTCTCCTCTTTTACAGGTCACTGTTTTATGAAAGGTATATATATGATTTCTTCACTTCCACTAAAACACAGTGTGCTGATGTCAAGACCACAGAGTAGTGAATTTTTCATGGGGAGAGAGCAACACAGGTGAGTGGCTCCATATTCCTTGCAATGTTTGACTGTTTGTTTTTATTAGGAGCAATGACATTATCTTCTGTTCTTCCTTCATGGAGTTCAAGGTGAACTTCCCTTCCTTTATCATTATAGCTGTCTTGTGGATTTTCCCCAGGATATAAGTTCTTCATCTCAAACTGTTTTCTGAGTGTTCCAACTTTGGAACTGAAACAGATGACAACTATAAAACTTTTTTTAAATTATTTTTTGCATGGCAGAATTTTTTTTCTTGTAATATTCTCCCTGTAGAGATTGATCCTGATAACTTGCATGTTATGTTTATAATTATTTTGCAGACCAAATCATTTGAATTAAAAAGTTTACAGAAGAGACAGGCAGATTGTCCTGGCTGGGGAAGACAATTTCTTTGACTCTCTCTATATGACCTAAACTAAGTTATGGGGAAAAGATATGATGACATTACACGAATGGGTTATTTTATATATGGTTTGGGATAATTGGAAGCGTGTTTTTTTTTTTAAAAAAAAAAAGCCTGTCAAATGGTTTGCCTGATGTTCAGCTTTCCTGCCCCAAATTGGCAGGAAATAATATGTCTATTTTTAGCATTTGTTAACAGATTTTGACAGCGCAATATCCATCACTTATAAAAAAAGAGGTTTGGGGGGCAAGTTTAGCCTGGAGGTTGCCCAACTATGCTCTACAGCAGAATCAGAGATGAGTTGGAAAGGTCACCCAGCAGGTGATAGAGTTCTAGCTCTGCTTGATATAATAGAAAGTACGAGCAAATACTATTTTGTGTTAAATGGACAAATAGTTCAACTCTGTGTAATGGAAGCATATCTCTTTCTAAAGCTTTTAATCAGGGGTGAAATCCAGCAGGTTCTGGAGAACCGGTAGTGGAATTTTTTTTTTTTTAATTTTTATTAATTTAAGAAACCACATAATACATTTATAAATTTTGAGCAGTTCGGAGAACCGGCAAATACCACCTCTGGCTGGCCTCAGAGTGGGGTGGGAATGGAGATTTTGCAATATCCTTCCCCTGCCATGCCAACCAAGCCACACCACGCCCACCAAGCC